GTAAAATTTTTTTGCTCAAATTTGTGAAAACTATAAACCAAAATCTATAGAAATGTATCCCATAATTAAAAGAAATCAAGCAGTCAATTTTTTAACACCCAAACTTTACGTAAAAACTTTTGAATTTTGTTACCAGTATGCTTTTTGTAAGCTGTTAGAAAACTACTGTACGGATTAGAGTAAAATAAACTAATTGTAGAGAAATATTTCTATGTTTTCTAAAGATTTCAATTAAATATAATGAGCCTATATTAAGCCAATCATCGAAAGTAGGTCAAACTGCTTAATAAACAATTAGTAATCTCAGTTTTTAATTAACACTTTTAAAACAAATTCAGTTTGATCAAGTAGATACAGAGATATAAATAGCATACTTTGGAAATATTTTCAGGTATAATTCACCACGTTTTAAAATGAAAGCGGAATTCCCCTTCAAAAGGCAATCAAGTATGTAGTTATTTTCATATTTGTTTATCAGTCAACATCAGTCACAAAAAGGCAGGTTATCTCACCATAGAACAAAACCAAAATTTACATATTTTATATCTCAAGTGAGATATACCTTATTTCATGAATAGTTATAAATGTTGAAGATTTCTATTCATTATTACTTCCTTTTCTAATAAAATTAATCTGATTTATTATCGCAATAAATCCTTTTATTGTTGACTGAAATATTGAATACACTTAGGAAATTGTTACAGCTCAATACTAACTGCACCTGCTGATTATGAAGACAAGAAGCTGACTCATTGGCAGATTTCACAAAGCTCATAAGGTGTACGATTGAATCAAAATCCCACACTAATCTAAAATTATAACCGATCAAAGCAATAATGAAATTCTATGACACAAAAATAACCAATGGAAGTTTGGCATGTCTTTTATTTAGTATTTACAAGGTTTTTCAATTAAAATATTTCAATTATTAATCGATTATTGATTGGTAGGGCCTTTCATTGTTTATTGATCTCAATTTGGTTATCGATACCCCAGCCTAAATCTACTTGTATGATTTATTACAAAAATGTCTAGGATCAACCACAGTCTGTGGCTACGATAATTAAGCTGAAAGTTTAATTAATTAATAAATAAAAATTGTGCAGGTACCTAAGAAATAACCAAAAAATCTCTTTTGTTATAACTTTAAATGCCTATGGATGTTAAAGACCTGACAAGTTCAAGTTCTTAATTTTCTACTCCAGAAACCAATTCCGAGGTATTCTAGTAGATAGTGTTCTGTTTTCCTTTTACCGGTATATATGAAATGACTACAGTACAGTTTTACTAGAAGGCTTCCAATGGCAAAACAGGCACAAATGTAAACAAAGGTGTTTATTTGTTCGTGAAAGACTTCAGTTTTACTTTTTTGGTGCATTTGAACGAAGGACTGCTTACTTATGACTCTGCTGTCCTTTTTATTAGAAATTAATCAATTAGTACTTGACAATAACCACATTTGTCTTGTTTTGGAAAATAGACAACTTGCATGAGCAAAACACCACAGACATAACAAACATAATGCATATTTTTGTGCAGTACTGCAGGTGTAATGGCCTGTGGTCTGGTCTACTAACTTACTAAGGTCTACTAGGCTTGTCCACGAACTTGTTATGTATTTTGTAATTTCGTGAAGTTTGTGATTTACTTTTTCACAGTTGATTAATTGAATAAAAGTTATTTCAAACCGAAAATTAGCACATTTAAACATTTCGACATATATATATTTGAATGAACATGTAAAATTACCTTTAATTTCACTAAAATGGAAAAAATTAAGGTGTAAAAAACACTTTTCTTAACATTGCCAATCAGATCAGGAAGTTCTCTTAACTTTCATCAATTCTCGTATTGTCACAGCCAATAAGCGAGATTTTCCACTTCAGTGACTCCGTTCGGATTGGTGGTTTAATGGCTCAGCGAAAATAATCTCAGGGAAAATAACGCTTTATTGCGACTTCTAATAAACTTTTGTTCAGAGCAGTTTTTAAATAGTGCCTCGATGAAAGTTCTATTTCATAATATCAAGCTTTTTTGATAACACAATTATTTGATTAAACTTAAAACAAGTGCCCATTCTGTTAGCTGTGGGATAGTAAAACAGGTTATCTAAATTTCTTATGGGTATTAGGGACACCGATAGAATCATTTACACCATTTCATTTTCAATCAGTCGTCTGTGGTTCCTGCAATTCCACTAGAAATAATTGTATGATGACGTCACTAATCGCAAAATATTCTTTAAGCAGATCACATAATAAGGCCCTTCACGATTAGTCCCGTCATCAAACACCTAGTTTTAGTCGAATTGCAAGAACTACTGAAGTTAAGAATGGTGCAAATTGATGCTATAAGTGTCCTTAGTACACATAATTTCTTGTAGAAAACCTCTTACAATCCCTCTTTACAATACAAGCCTCAGTCTCATAAATAATTTAGGAATCTGCGATGTTCGCGATGGGGTAATGTAAATAGTTTTACGATGCATTGTGTAAGATAGTGACAAAATTGTAGAAAGAGTGGAGCAGTTTCATTAAAATGGCGAAGGAGATGATTCTGCAAAAGTCCATTCAATATCAGGTGACTGTTCTGTAATGTTCGCTGATAATCATTGATGGATCTGCTGACCAAGGCCAAGATTGTTTGTGCGACTAATGCCGATCCGATCCTATCAGAAAATATTGACTGTTGTATTGGCGATGTTTGACAAAGGTTCGCAGAATGTTCTTAATTATTTGGCGATCATCCGCTAACCATTGCAGAGGCATCACCTTACGTATTAACTGAGAAAGGTTACGGTCCACCGGTAAACGTTCTATAAACCTTCACAAATGCACTTTTTGACAAAAAAACGACGTAAATGTATCTCCACAATTTCCAATACAAGCATTACAATTTTCCCACTTTTGCAAAGCTGTCGTGATCTAGTGAGAAGGTTTGTAGGCTTTTAGGAAAGGCGAAAATTTTGCATAATTATAGGGTCCAATCATAGAGGTGCATTGAGATTGTCCACATTTTCATTCGCCAATTGGACTCAAGCTTCAAAATGGGCTCACACACAACCTATAGAGTCTAGTTGCACTGGTTGGGTGAAAACCAAAACTTTGACAGGCTGCCGTTCGAAAACTATCATAGATAGAAAGCTGAAATTTACACCGAAGGTACACACCCATCTGAAATTGTTGTGTTCGAAATTTCAATTTCAAAACTCGACCAGTTACAGCACTTTTAGTTTCAGATTGTTTACCAAAACTTTCTCAAAAGTAAAATATTTCAAATTTATGTTTTTGACGGATATAGATAGAGGACATGTTAAACTGTCGTTTGCAAAAATATTTTATACATCTCGGGTCAAAATTGACGAAGTTATGGCCATTTTAGTAAAGGTGGGGGTCGGCAGTCTCCCTATAGAAAACTATGCCTGTTACAGCACTTTTAGTTTCTGATTTCTTCCACAAACCTTAAAATAAGCGGGTCAAAGTTGGCGAAGTTATGGCCATTTTAGTGAAGGGGTGGGGGTCGGCAGTCTCCCTATAGAGTCTAGATGTAAAGTTGAAATTTGCACTGAAGGTACACACCCATCTGAAGTTCTCGTGTTCCAAATTTCAGCATCCAATCTTGAAAACTCTGCCAGTTACAGCACTTTTGGTCTCAAACTTTTTCCCCAAACCAAAAAATATGCGATTTTCCTCTTGAAATTTCGGGTGAAACTTCAAAGTCGAATTTCTCGAAAGTTTGAAAAAAATCCAAATTTCTTTTTTTCATTGAAATATATAGGGGAAATGTTAAACTTTAGTTTGCAACAAAAATTACAACTCTCGGGTTATAATTGGCGAAGTTATTTCTGAAAGTTTTTTTTTAACTAAAAGCTAAATCAAAAGTGAAGGAGGGCAATTCATTAGTCTTTGTTCCTACGTTTAACCCGAAAAACCCTGATTTATCAAATGTCATTGTTTATCACTACGATATTCCTACAAAAATATTAACCAGAAGTTTATAACCCAAGAGAAAAACTGCCAGGTACTTATCTGTTATAGCAAACTCTGTGGTTTATGTGAATATCTAGTTGAAAGGGTCATCTTTTTAATTCTCAACGGGCCAAATATTTTATGTGCAAGCTCAAATTGTGCTTGCAAGTTTGTCACATGCTATTATCACCTGTTGTGAACAGCAAGAGTATAACATAGAAGGAATAAACTGGCAACATATAGAATTTGTAGACTACAACAGTTGTACAAAGAATTTGCGAAAAGGAATGACCATTTACGGAGAACTCCCAAAACAAGAATGATCATCTTGATTGATTAAATTGAAGTCTGTGCAGGGGGGAATATCTTAACCCCCAACTTTATGGTCTTTCCTTTCTACAAAATGTCTAGCCAAAACGGCTTAGCCTATTGATGGGAGTAATTAAAGAAGAAACATTTCACTAAAAACTGACACCTTAATTTAGTTTGATTCTTTATTATCTATTAGATTGATACGTTTTGTTAATTTTCTTCATTCGATTAGTGTAAAATAGTGCTGACACGTTACGCGTATCGTATGAAATTGTTGGAAACTTTTTATAAGACAGTGGACGCTAACCACTTCTATCAACTATATTACGAAATATCACAGTTATAAAGTTATGAATTAATATATATAGAAATTTTGAAGATAAAATTTTAATCCCATTACCCTATATCGCGATATGTATCGTATCGTGAACCGTGTATCGCGCTATGATTGACTAATGTAAATCCGCACATCTCCCGTAGACAATATCATGACGTCATATGTTGTTTATTGTATTGTTACTATGCCTTGAAAGTATGAATTTGAAACAATGTTGGCATAACATTTAAATAATGCCACCAAAGAAAGCAGAAGAAAAGAAAAAATATGAAGAAAAGATTCTCCAGGCGGAAACTCACCTTACAGGCAAGTTCTTATTGATAAGTTGGATACCGTACTATATCCAGGAGATAGCCCATAATATTTATGTGAAAACAATGTGATAATTGACATTAAAACAGTTTATTATCTATAGTTTAAAAATATTTTACAAGAGAATATACAATTCATAATAATTCATTCATTCCACACAAGGACATTATATTTCACAAAGATTCTTCATCACAACATCCATTCAGTCATTCACTAAAATTGTCCAACCCATACAGTTTTACTGGTAAAAATGGAAGAATAAAATATTTACAACACATTTGATTTATGATAATTTAATGGTGTATAGGTATTGATGATTACCATGGTGGCTGCATTGGTTGTGGGTTTTGTAAATAGGACATAACAACTGCCGATATAGATAGCCTACAAATGAAATTAATTACATATTAATTTTACTTTCAAATGTAATGTAGGTGTATGTTGTCTCAATCAGAGCCCTGGCCAACAACATCAGACTAGGTGCCATCTTGTTACCCTCTGACTTCCATTATGACCACCAAGCAATGCATTGATGATGAATTATGAGTAAAATAATATTAAGACTTCAGAGAGGAGTTCCTTCTGTTATCTGGATCAAAACTTTCGTGTAATGAATATCAATAGTGTAGATATGGTACACAACATGTAAAACACTTACATAAAACTACTTAGCATTTGTTTGGTATCTTCAGAGGTTCTTGAATTTGCAAAACTAATGAATGAACAGTACACTGCCACCCATGCACACCACTTTAACTGAAAAGATTTGCAACAATATAATGAAAATGTGATTTGTCAGCAACAAATTGTGAACTTTAGTTTTTAAAAACTATCCAAACCAGTTTAACCCAAATTAAACTTTTATCAATTTTTTTTTATTTTCTGCAGACTGCGTCAAAATTCCATCCAAGCACCATGCTATAACAACAAGGACTTCATTATAAACAGAACAATCAAAACCAACTAGACAATTTTATTGCTATGATTTAATATAGATCTGTCATCTTTTAAAGGTGGTTTAGAAGCGATTATCGCTTACCATATTCAGAAAACAGATTTAGACAGCCAATTTTGATTATATAAATACCGGGTACTTAAGCTAGTTAAGATAACTTAAAGAATTCCTTCATTACCTTCATCATTAATCCACACATACTAAATATCATTCCTAACAAATTCATATAATCTGGTGTTGGATCATCTGCTGGAGCTCCTTGTGCTGGAGCCTTATACCTAAGATGATAAACAAAAGTAAAATTCAAGGCTTATATTCCAATACTGAGTACAAAAGATCTCAATTCTGATTTCTGGGATCAATGTGCGTGATATAGGAGAGAGAGTCTCTCTATCGGCCACCGTTCGGGTGTGACAAGACAGGCTGTTTATCAAATTAAATAACAAAAATTACCTTGTTATTTTATTAGATCTTCGTGGATCGTTAACATTATTCTTCACCTCTGCAGACATATTGACAACAAACAAAGCCTTTACTGCTTTCTAACTTTATTTCTTTCAAGACGTACAGAAAATCAAGTCGACACGACACAGGAACCGAATGACCGGAAGTAACGCACCTGTTCAGCGTTCGATTGCTTACTCCTATGGTATGATGTTGTCCGAAATTTTCTGACATAATCCAGTGTAGAGTTACAACTTTATATTTCAAAGTGCCGTTTAATTTAGTTCAGTCTGTATTTTTGACTTATAGAAATAAGCTTTATGATATAATCTGGCGACCTCATCTTTAGAGAGATAAGGTTTCAGTTTGAGAAAGACTATCTTTTAATATGTTTTATATTATAACTTTTTACCGGCATGAAATGAACTTAAAATTAGTGAACATTTTACAAGGATAGCACGGCTAGTACAATACTCTGCATTGAATCCAATCGCAATGATTAAGTCTCAATAATGACTCCTCTGCTTAATAAAATAACATATGCAAGATTAATTCATCGCGTATGTTGGGCAAACCCAATGTAATGCACGTACACAGAGGCTTCTCTCGAAACGATAAGAAAGATAACAAATCATCGATTGAACTTCCAACAAATTGATCCAATATGTTTGATTTTTAGAAAGAAATGTAAATGTCAGAGAACGTTCCTCGGACTTGTTTCTATTGAGTCTTCGAAAGAGAAAATCGACAAATTATTCAAATTTACAATCAATTTAACTATCTTTCGGACTAAGTTGAAGCTGTTCAACGGTCTAGAATAACAAATCGAACAGATCCTGCACAGATAACTCCCCCTTCATTTCCGGTTTCGTCTGCTTTATTAAAAATAAAATGGCCTTGTAATATTACAGTCAAATTATTTGATGATCTACTCATTACTTTCCTTGTCATGGATACTCAAGATTTTATAGACGAGTTAGGAAAAGATGACGAAGATGAGGTACCGGTAATGTTTATAACGTCTGATTCATCACACAACTACTCTGTCTACAGTGAATGGAATTTTTCCTCCCATTCATTTTCCTCAGTCTAATTAATTAGGCCTAGTAATAATCAAAATGTAACTTTCAACTGTATGCCATTTTGTCTTTCGGGGTAAACAGAAATATAAGGTTTGGAGATTTTACATTAGAAATTCAAATGATCCATATTTTTGACTTAAAATTGTTTCTTAGAGAGACGCTCTCTGTAAGATTACACATTCCTATTACAGATTTTTTCATTTGTTGGCATTTCCATCATCTTAAAATCTGAGACTCACAGTTCTATTTTGAAGTTATTATCTCCTCCCATACAAAATTAATTGCTGAAATGCGAATATGTCATGTTCAACACCTTTCACACACCGAGAAGAGAATGTTAACACTATTATTGTTATCGTAAAGCTGGCACCTACTTCCCTATCTTTTATTGTGAATATAGCGAAGAAATGATTAGTCTACCTGGATTAGATGCTCTGCAGTAACACTAATAAAAAAACTAGTGTTACTGATGAGTAGTTATGGTACTATATAATCAAATATACATTTTGTAGTTATATTATTATTATATGAAAATTCAGATACCTTTTGTAGCTATATTACATTTATGAAAATTCAGATACCCTTTGTAGTTAAATTATATAACTTATGAAATTCAGATACGTATTGTAGTTAAATTATAAATATGAAAATTCAGATACCTTGTATTTATGAAAATTCAGATATGGTACCTGTGATTAATGCCTAATTAATATCTGTTTGTTTTTTTTAGGAGTTTGAAGATGCCTTTGATAAGATTCATATGTAAGTAATATGAATTTTTTTTTTACGGATGTTTGAAGATTCTGCAGTTGAAGGGTTGTGTTAAAAATTGTTAGTAGGAAAAAATAAGGAGTCATACAGTATCCAGAGTACTAATCTTAAATCATAGCCTTTCAAAGCCATTATTTATAACCTTATCAAGGGCTAGATTGTAAAGACTCATACCACTTTTGATAAAGCGAGATGAAGAATATGATGTATAAGCTTAATGAATTTTAAGGTTGTTTATTTACAGTTCTAGTGATATGGATCTACAAACCTCCATTGATGAAACTGGTATAGCACTCAAATTGTTTCTAAATAATAAATTTTCGGATGCAAAAGAGAGAATGGAACCACAGTAAGTTGACAATTTTTTTTTTATTTTACTAACTGTCTGCAATCATATACCAATTATATACTCTTTGGGCATATTTGGAGACAATCCTGTTCATAAGTCCTGTTTATAAAAGCAAAATATAATTTATGCCTTATTTTTTTTCTGTAGTTCATTGAAAAGTATGTATCCAGCATTGGGTTATAGTACGATATTGTACCTTCAAGCTGTTATGACATTCGATATGGTAAGTTGTCAATTAAAATATATAGATATGTTTCAACAGTGTATGTATGAAGATGCCAAACTGGATAGCATGTTCGTTATAAAATGTCTGTCATTAATAATATTTGTTCAGACCTAGTTCAGTTATAATGTTTCTTTTGAAAAGAAGATGCATTGTCAGTGCCTGAAATGGAAGTTTTTCAAAGACAAGTTGTAATTATTTGTTCAAAATAAAAGGTCTTGGCCACTGCCCTACTATCCTACTATCCTACTAAAATTCACAGTCAAGTCAATTTATTAATAAAGATGACAAGAAAAAACCATTGGTGTTCCATTGATTATTTAAGTCACAAAACTTATTAAGGGGAATTCTTCGATTTGATCAAAACACGGCTATCTGAAGTTTCAATAATATTACTACAAAATGCTGATATAGTAAGTTAGTAGCTCAACGCGAACCACTACCTCACAACATTGTTTTTTGCATAGTTTCGTTATATCACATTATTGAAACTTCATATACTTGTGATCAAAAGAATCAATTTGCCATTTCATAAGAGTGATCTGAATAGCTCTTCACTTTCCTTGATTTTAGCTTCTTGACACATTTTCAAATTGATGGTATATGTTATATTTAGTGTTAACTATTTTGTAGAATGATATAGAATCAGCAATTAAGATCATAAAAAGGTCTGTTGCTGTTTGTAATACCTATAGAAGAAAAACAACAGTAATGGGTTCATTCAGGAAGACCTTGACTAGAGTCAGTTATAATGATCTTACAGAAGGTAATATAACTAATGATTAATATGTAATCTGGATGACAGTAGAAAATCCCCTGATCTGCTTATAATGTATAATATATTTTATATGAAAGGTGTTATGTAAAGTGGTATAAAAAAAACAGCTTGATTATTTCATAGGTTTTATTAAATGAAACTAAATGAAATAATGTGAGGCAACTACTCTTTTGTTATTTTCCAAATTTTGTGATATCTTTATGAGATTATTGTCCAATCCAAACCATGGGATGCTTTTTCTATTACACCCCCTCCAACTTAGCATCACTGTTGTGAGTGGAACCAAACCCTAGATAAGCAAGCCAACTCATTGAGCCATCCATGCTCTTCTCAATGTTATTAAGTATTTCAAATACAAAATATATTATACTAGATTCTGTATTATATCTTATTTTAGATGAAATCCATGCAGAATTATGTTATGCAGAATGTTTATTATTAAGAGCATTACTAACTTTCATACAGGATGAAAACTTGATCAGTTTTGTAAAGGGTGGTTTAAAGATTCGAGAATGTTATAAAATATACAAGTAAGGATTTTATACTTTTTTCTTTTAATAAAATGTTTCTTACCTCCTTTTGTTGATAGTTTTGTTAGTTTATTTACAAATGATTAGAATTTCACATTCAAATAAACAAACAAAGACTTCTTTAATGCCAAAGAGCATTCATTTCGTTTGCAATAAGGTGCATAAAGATAGAATTTACAAAGAATAAAATGAAATTGGTCTTAATATACTCCATCTTGTTCTGACCTCTGCATAACTGTGTATCTAATAATACAGTATTTTCACTGTTAAAATAGTGCTCAATGCATCAGTTGTAGAATGATATAATAATAACTCTGTATCTCTATTAAAAGATTATTATTTTTTGTAGAGAGTGTAATAAAATTTTAAAATCTAGAAAATGGACAGATGAACAGCATAGAATACATTTTGAAAGTGGTGTAAAAATGGGGGTTGGTGCCTTTAACTTGGTAAGATATTTTTCATATTTTGATATTTTTTTGGGTCGACCATTATTTCTCAATAACAAATTATAATGAATTTTCCTACATATATACATAATATACTTTCAGATGATCTCTCTATTACCTGGTAAAGTCATGAAACTATTAGAATTTGTTGGTTTTTCTGGAAATAAGGTATGTTTATTGAATTGCATGATGAAATGGATTGTTGGATAACAACATTGAATTAGATATGGATTGCTAAAATTGTATATCCCTATATGGCTGTGGATAATAGCTTAGATTTGTATGACTCAACATTAGAATACTTGCCAACTCAACCTAGGAGAATTTGAAGAGTTGAATTTTACTTTTGGCTTCTTGTGTGTTTCGTGTACAATTTTCTAGTGTTATGTATATAATGTCAAAGGTTCTTAATGGAGATGTTCAATTGCATAACTGAATGTAATTCAATGTTTTTTTTTTTAATTTTTTTTCAGCAACTAGGTTTGGCTGAGTTAGAAAATGGAAGCAAAATGACAACAAGTTTAAGAGGACCATTATGTTCCATTGTACTAGTAGCCTACCATACTGTTGTTACATATGTCTTAGGTTTGTCATTAAACTTTACTAAATCATTGTCAACTTAATGTGTGTTTTTCTCTGATTGTTAGTTAATGATGTTTTTGAACAAAAGATGTAGCCCAGATATTTACTTTCCCAGCTAATAGCAGCTGATAGAGAGAATATATCAAGAGTCTAAATTTCCAGTTTTCAATGCCAGTTATTACTGATGATGCCATATTGGCTTGTAATTCCTTCATGCTCAGTGCTCAATTCCAAGCTTCAATTCCTTTGGATGTTTCAACCTAGTTTCCCCCTGTCAGTGATGTGATGTAGAGGGGCTGACATGTAAAAAGCATCTAGTAGTTTAAAGCTTCATTTGCCTGCGATAGGCATTGCACATTAACAATCTGTTGACCGTAGGGTAAAGCCACGACCTGGTAAGATTTTCCTCATTGCACACTACATAGACGAGTCATCTAACCTGGATTGAAATAGGTTTTTGCTATATAACACTATATTATTATATTGCAGGTTTAGGTGATGGTGATATAGAATTAGCTTCTGATTGAAATAGGTTTTTGCTATATAACACTATATTATTATATTGCAGGTTTAGGTGATGGTGATATAGAATTAGCATCTGATTGAAATAGGTTATTGCTATATAACACTATATTATTATATTGCAGGTTTAGGTGATGGTGATATAGAATTAGCTTCTGATTGAAATAGGTTTTTGCTATATAACACTATATTATTATATTTCAGGTTTAGATGATGGTGATATAGAATTAGCATCTGATTGAAATAGGTTATTGCTATATAAGACTATATTATTATATTGCAGGTTTAGGTGATGGTGATATAGAATTAGCATCTGATTGAAATAGGTTATTGCTATATAACACTATATTATTATATTGCAGGTTTAGGTGATGGTGATATAGAATTAGCATCTGATTGAAATAGGTTATTGCTATATAACACTATATTATAAAATTGCAGGTTTAGGTGATGGTGATATAGAATTAGCATCTGATTGAAATAGGTTATTGCTATATAACACTATATTATTATATTGCAGGTTTAGGTGATGGTGATATAGAATTAGCATCTGAAGTATTAAAATCTTGTCTTGTTAAATATCCTAAGGTAAATAAAGATTATCATTAATAAATCCAACTTATTAGTTCATTAAAAGTTGGGACTCTACATAAATAGAAAACTGGCTTAAACAGGTTGCAACATTGTATTCAGTCCATCGTAAAACTCACTATGAAGCTCTGTGATAAGATATCACTTTGTTTTTCATGAAACTAGGTAAAAGTTTTTCTTAAATATTTAGCCAACCACATGGGGAAATAGATTAGTGATACAGTATCTCTAATCTGTCTTGTTTTTTTGATGAGCTTTGTTTGTTTTTTATTTTATAGGGAGCTTTATTTTTATTTTTCGCTGGTCGAATACAAGAAGTCAAAGGAAATATTGATGAGGTAAAAAAATTGTCATGTTTTTGTTTTTTTCAATCCAGCTGAAACAATGAAATTTTGACAACAACTTTCATTGCGTTGATATTGCCTCATGACATATTACTGTCAGGGAATAGAGAGATTTAGCCATCTACACCTATATTTAATTTGTTGTGGCTTTTTACGTCATAAAGAGTGATTTGTTTCGATTTGGCTGAAATTTTACTAGCAAGATAGCAGCGTTTTGATTGGATAATATTTAGCTATGAATACGTAATTTATCTCACTTGTATTACCATACTGTGACTTATTGTGAGGAAGTATGAAGAAGTATGGGGTGTGGTTTGGACACGATGCTTGTTCAGGTGAAGATGCACTCAATATCTTTAATATTTTGTAGGCTGTGAGTAAATTTGAAGAGTCCATTGATTCACAGTCAGAATGGAGACAATTTCATCATTTATGTTTCTGGGAATTGATGTGGTGTCATTGGTATGCATTGTTTTTTTTCTTCTTACAAATATGAAATATTCTTGTCTAAGAAAGGAAGAATTATGAGAAAAAATGCATTTTCTATTCTTATGTTATCATTTCTTAGAGGGTCAGAAGTGTCTGCAGCATGTATGGATGGAAGGGGTTTAAAGTTGACACCTGACCAGCTCTCACAAACACCGATCCGGGCATCAGATTTATTGTTGTCATAATCAAATTCAAAAGGAAAGAAGCTTTACAAAGTCTTTTCAAGTTTGTACATATTGACTATTTGTGTGTATTGTAATTTTAGTTTTAAGTCAGACTGGTTGTTAGCTATGAAATATGCTGAGAAATTATGTCATGAAAGTAGATGGAGTAAGGCTACCTATACATATCAGAAAGCTTCCTTCTTACTCATGTGTGATGACCAGTCAGAAGATACCAAAGCTCATGTAACATATCTGTATGGGTAGGTTGATATATCTCATATCACAGACTATGTTAGCAGACCCAAACATCTGTCTCTATTCCAGCTATTTGGACAGATGTGACTGGTGTAAATACAGAAAAAAACAGGCCCTGTTAAATGGGGACTGTCCAAATCTCCACAGATGCGCAAGAGTTTTAAATCTATTTAGATACCTGGGATATGCAAAACCCAGGTATATTTGGAAAGATGAATATTTTTGTAGTTCAATCATACCATTGTATATCACCCAGCTCTATTCAAGACTATATTTATTGTATATTGTTTTTCATAGCGCTGTTCCAAATTTAAAACAGAAAATTGCTGGAAAATCATTACCTTTTGAGAAATTTGCTGTTGGAAAAACATTAAGATATACTGAACAGAATGATTATCTTACTCTTCCTGCCTTTGTAAGTATTGATTTGATTATAAATAAACCATCAATTCTTTAGAGAGCAAAAAAATACAGTTTCATTTATTCCTGAAACAAGTTGACATTTGTGCTGGTCTCCAGGCCGCTTATTCTCGAAATGATCTTAGTGCTAGGATGCCCTAAGGCCTTAACATCTAACACTGTTTCTAGGGCATCCTAGCGCTAGGATTGTTACGAGAATACGTGGCCTGGTCATATTCGAAAAATACATTCAAATCTAAAACCTGTTTGAGACAACATATATATTAACCAGCAATTTAAGATTTTAAGTATATTTATATATAGTATTAAAGAATATTTATAATATTATTATCTATTTTAATTTGTAGGAATTGATATATGTATGGAATGGTTTTAATATAATTGGTCAAAAGATGCATTTAATAGATCCAATATTAACAATTATAGAACAAACTATTAATGAAATTCAAACCAACAAAGGTAAGAACTGAACTATTGTATTCCCCCATGTCAGTGATGCATGTTGGAGGGGATGACATGGAAAAAGTGTCAACGTATGGTTGATACAGGAAACTGAAGCTGTGCACATTAAAATTTGCCTCATTGTACACTTTGAATATGGCTAATCTTTGTCTAACTAAAGGCTCAACATACTTCCTATGGCATACAAATTATATTTACATTATCAATTTTTTTTTTTCAGATAAATATTTATATTTTTATGATGATTATTCTCTAGCTTTGTTGTTAAAAGGGGTTTGTTTGTTTCATAGAAAGCAATATTTCCAAGCTAATCAATGTTTTACTGAAGTCATTTCATAGTAAGTATATTTCAAACATAGTAATATCAATCATTCTTTCAACAGTCTTATTATTGTACAGTTTCAAAATTTCAAAGTAATAATTTCAATGGTTTAAAGATGAGTTTCCTTATTTTTTAGTGTCAAATTAAGCAAACTATTTGATTAATTGGTGTTTCAAATGAATTATCATGTATTCTTAATCATATCATTATGTTCTTATTGCATATAATTAAGAGTTTTAACCAATCATAAATGTCCATGTATGTACATTCTGGATAAACAAAAGAAGACTTTTTGACCTTTCTTGATTGGTCACTTGAATTCTGGGTAAATTTATTCATTTTTATTTTGATTTTTTTCAGTGAAAAGAATATTAAACATGATTTTTATCTTGTACCTTATGCAATAGTTGAGATGGCTAGAATATGTTTAAATCAAGATGAAATTGCAGAAACTAAAGCATTACTAGAGAAAACCAAGTAAGAATTAATCTTCAATTTTTTCACTTATTTACAACCAGTCGGTCTTTTAGGAAATATATTCTGCTAAACAACAGATCAATAAAGCCGAAATAATACCTGTAGATCTATTTTGTTGTTCTTTTTTTTCTTTCTAGTAGTTGAATTGTAAATTAAGTAGATATTGGAGGGACAAGCCGTTTATTCCTTTAAAGGGATTGTAAAGAGATTTTCGAAATTTTTTATCAGTATTGGGGACACGTAAGACGTAAGGTTCCTGCAATTCCCCGATACATATGATAAAATTATAAAACCTCTTTAATATCCCTTTAAGATATATTCTATCAAAGCTGTATACTTTAATCAATAATGTATTTCTTGCAGGAAAAATTACAAAGGTTATCAGCTTGAATCCAGACTACATTTTAGAATTCATGCTATAAAACTACAGATACATAGTCGAGACGATACCACTTCACAACCATGTACTCCATCAACAGAAAACTTACCTTCTTTTGATAACTCTACATAAAGATGATCTCCTTTTTCCTCTTGTGCAGAACAAAACAGGCAATATATATATTTTCCTTTTTCTTTTTCTTAGCATTTTACAATTTAAAAGTGTTCTTTCTTTGAGTTATAGCCTATATTGGGTCTGTTTTGATCAAAATTGCTGGGTCGGTTTCATCTATTACCTTTCTATTTCATTAATTGTATAATGATTTTAATATTATGTATATTGGTGACAATTTCTTATATTGTATTATTTTAAAATATTGTCTTTAGACAGTATATATCTGAAGGCCGGTTTATACTTTGCTAAGCCAAGCATATCAATATATATGCCCATAGCTTCATATCGATACTAGTATGCATAGCAGAGTAAACCGGCAACAGACTACTATTGGTGATTAGATCACCTGTTGATCACCTGTTGAGATCCCTATTTTTGGCCAGAGAAGTATTGCATGAATTCTTTTTTTATTATTTGCTATACGATTCAAAATGGATGAAACATTCATTGAAAATTTATGACATTCAAGCTTGTCAATATTTTTTTTTAAATTTGAAATTCTTGACAAAATCATGTGGAATTGGTTCTTGAAGTGACAACAGTCACATTGTTGAATTTCAATAGAACCCAATGACTGATTTTGATTTTGAAAAGTGACATGAATGGCTAAAATCAACTTTATTGTGTGGAAAAGTGAATATTAACAACTACATTTATATTAAAACATAGTGGCTGGTGTTTCCAATACTTTTACTAGAAAATATAATAAGTAATAATATAAAATTATGTTTTGATATATATATATTATTTCTTTAATTATAAGTTACACCATATTTCAAGAATTTTCTTATTTATTTCTTAGTATTAGTAAACTTTAATTCTTCCAACTCATTTAATCAAAACTAGTTATATAATTATACTCTTTCTTGATCACTCTGATCTTTTTTTTTGTACTTTTTCTATGTGTCGTGTTTAGAGGATACTTGAGTGTATGAGTATAAACTATATATTTATGCATTTAAACATCTCTTCCAATCAAATTAAGTATTCTAGTTTGTTTTTTTAATGCTTTAGATCTCATTCTTAATGTATTATTGACTATCATGAAAAGTGTTATTTTTAATTAACATACGAATGCAAAACAACATTTTGCAGTGCATGAATTATTTTGTATTGAAGTCAAGCTAAAAAACTGATCTGTACATGACATTTTAAAAACCTATTTGAAAACCATTGAGTTAACTAATCAAGTAGATAGTCATGTATTAACTAAAAACCATGATGTTGAAAACATTATTAGATTGGTGGAATATCTGTTAAACCTAAATTTAGAGCAGTTACCAAAAAACAGTTTAATCATTACTGGAATTTGAATTTGCTTATCATTCCACAGGCCAAAATGGAGGTGTTCATTCATCAAAACAGCGGTTTTAACATAAAATAGAGTAAGGAGTATTGAATGACTGCTCAACAATTTGAAAGAATATATATTTCAATAACAATGTCATAGCAAAAACATTTTGGAATCACCATTCCCTTCATACACGGAGCACTGGACTATTCTGGAATAGTTACTTCTGTACATCACATTTGTAGAAATTTTTTATTTAAAAATAAAGTAGAATTTCAACAGGCAACTGGTATTACTCAGAAGTAGAGTCTATCCATAGCTCTAAAAGACATTCATGAAATCTAATAAATTATCTGTCATATTGATTGAGAAAATCACATGAATAAAATTGTTAGAATAGGCCTTTGATGTATATGTTATAATTAAATGTGTGATTTTTTGATCTTGACTTTCTATTACTATAATATTTATAATTAAGTTTGTTAATTCGGATGAGACCTACTCTTAAACTAGTCCAAGTTGAGTTTTGAAAGTATCATTTGTGATGTTAATTGTGTGTGAAGATTGATAATTTGAAATTGTCAAATGTGATCACAGATATATAGGGTCATTAGACCTGGCCACTAAATACATTTTATTATAGATGATATTCACATAAGCAATAAATAATGGATCTCTTGTAGTTATGGTGATGTAAGTAAATGGAAAGTGTGTCAAACTGAATGAGCTGTGCTTGTTGGTTCCTACCATTTAGATTCCACAGTGTTTGATATTGTTACAAGAGAAAAAAGCAAGATATTTCTGTTACAAAGGGATTGACTTGCACCATGTTAATTTTCTGTCAGATGTCTGTAATTTTTTAACAACTTTTGCGATAGTGATCTCATATGGGGTTTACCATTTTAATAATTGCAGGAACCACAGACATCCGACAGCAAATTAGAATGAAGCAAATATAAGGCATATGGACCTGATACACATAAAAATTTAGAAAACTTGTTTACAATACCTTTAAGTATTTTTCTACCTCAAGAAAATAGATTCAACGACATAAGAAATCTATGATGAATCCAAAATTCCATACATCTTCATACTTTCAAGGCTTGTCATGTTTCATGCAATTTATACTGTGATCATTGATATGAAAACTTGTCTGATGCTTGTAGTATATGATTTTGTCAATAATTTATATAGGTATATAGAACTGATTGTTATTTGTTAGTTGATATTTCACTATTTGTCATTACAGGCATATAAATATCTTTGCTAACATCTGGGTTTTCAGATCATTAACATTATTATAAGTCCATTTCAACTTCAGGTAGAAACAAAAAAACCACAATATCATTCTTGCCTATATAGTTCAATTGCGATTTGCTGTACCTTAAAGGAAAAGGGGTTTTCTCAATTTTGCATGTGTGTCTGTGACACTGATATCATTAATTTGCAGCATATTTCACAATTAGTGACATCACCAAACCATTTTGTGGAATTGCAGGAACCAGGAACCACAGATGTCTGATTAAAAATTGGAATGGTGCAAATTGATGCTATCAGTGTCCCCAATAAACTTAAAAAGTTTAGAAAACCTCTTTACAATCTCTTTAAGATATAGAAGATTTCTTGTTTGTTGTTAAGTTTTGAATCATTCGCTGATGTTCAAAAATAGTTTTCTATATTACTCAGAATATTATTTTGGATATAAATAGAAGGTATATTTCACAATATTACAAATGATTCCAACTATGATTTATCTAGATACAGAAAAGCAATCAAAAAAGACTTGCAATTTAGTATATCCATTCAGCAGTATTGTTATGTTGAATAATTGTATCAATGATATCTTTAATTATAACTAATTATTTATTAATTATAACTTTATTCTGTGATATTTATTGTTGTTAAATTATTGTTTATTTTGTTGATTTGTAAATATTCTATTTATATCATTACTTTCACATTCTAGATGTAATTATGATCAGTAATTAGTATTAGAATTAGCTAGTCAATCAAACTTGTTGATTTGTTGCATTTGCTCAAATTTTTTTTAGTTTTTAGAGGTTTGGTCATTGAACTAGTTTTGAGCCCACATCACTATGTTATATTGTTGAACACACTTTATATAAGGATAGATAAGCTCCTATTCCATTTTTTGTGGTAGTGTCAAAATTTATTTCCAAAGCACTGCACTATGCACTAATTGTTATCGATATTCCAAACTTTTTGGCTATGGTCTTATATTTAGATCTCATTTCAGTAAATAGTCCCAAATACAAAAATAAGATAGTTGCTTAAAAAGGCCTTTATGTATAATATTTTTTTGTTATTTAGACTTGTTGATGGATTATGCTTGGTGCCTAGGATTATTCTCTCCACATATTTGGATGTTTTGAATGATAAACATCTTTTCTTTATGGATCTACTTTTATTAAGTCATTCATGATTTGGAATTTGTAGAACTGACATAATTTTGACTCTGCACTTGAGGTTTTCAACTTCTAGTAATATTCCAATGGGTAAAATATCATTATTTAAGTGTTTTATATAATAGAGTCCAAATCTTTATAATAAAATTGACATCTTGGCAGCTTTGTACATGGCCCAGTAAATAATAATATTTATTTATTAGATTATATATTCAAGTGTCATTATGAATCAATCTTTTTTATTCTATATATTATGAATTGTTCTTTAGATTTTAATTCTATGAAATAAAGTTTTTGAATTCTCTGTATGTGGTTATTTTGTTTCCCTTCTGAAATGCTGATTCTTATATATCTTCCGTGGAGTAGATCTTATAATACCCTTTTGATTTTTTTTCGCTGTTGGTCAGAACATGTATTATGTCATCACCAAAGATCAGCTTCTCCAACCACCTAATTTGGTGGTGAATACATTACATCCATTGCGTGTAGTAACTGTTGATAAAGTCTGTTAGATTGTCGCAATGATGTCATTTGCTTGGTAATGTTGAACAAATGGTGATCATGGATTCTTATTTCAGTTGGCCTTTCCAAGTCTATTTAATTATTTGTCCTCATTATTCCAGTTGATCCAGCTAGAATCGATCTTTTCCATATTATCCATACCAATTTTAAAACAATAGATTCAGAAAAGATCGAGCTGGTAGAAAGGATCTTTATGAACAAGTTGCTAAAAAAACTGATTGTTTGTTACTTTCTTTAATAGCTCACGTTTTTCTTGAAACATTTCTGTTGGAAATTGATGCCTATTGCATGTAAATGAAATTGTAATTAATCAATTTTGAAAAACGACTTCATTCCCTCTCATTATATGAATAGCTTTAAGCTAGCAAGTCAGAATACAATAACACTGATAGCACTACAGGGTAGTGACTACTCTAGATATGATTTGATGGTCAGCATAAAACAAAACAATATTTATTTAGATTTTATTAAAAAAGAAAGCCCTCATATAAAATAACAACACAATATAAATAACAATGATTAATAAATAATAAATCTGTCATTATGAGTCTGTAAGCAAGAGATCAGATGTATTACTTGATTCACGACACTAGAAAATCAACCATTTCATCACAATTTGGATGTCCAGTGGCTCAACCACCATAGGGACCTGACTTGTTGAACCATGTCCACAGGGTCCTCATCCCCCAAAAAAATGTACAAAAGTATACAATTATAATCAAACTGAGAAATAATTACAGACTGATTGACTTACACAGGGGTCTCAGAATGCAGGAGAAAAATAAAATGAATGGAGTTTTACATCCTACTTTTCTGCACCATGTAGGCATGACACCGGCATTAGCTTGCACTTTTTTCTATTTTCAACGGTTGAGGGATCTTTAACGTTCACAGCCTGTAGAACACGGGACCTTGGTTTATTGTCCCATGCAAATCAGAATGCAGGAGAGTATATGTTAAAAACAAATTTCCAGGGGGGAGGGGCCCCACCCCAAGCCCAAATGTCCATTTAAGCCACTGTGGATTTCATATTCTTTCTAGGAATCTAGAGCATACCAAAATCATGTTTCACAAATCTGATCCTCTTGGTCAAAATGAAGCCTGTTCCACTATCATTCAACATTATTGTAAATACGTCAGACACAGAATTTATTTACCATATAAACACAATCTGGTGTCATTTTGTTAGTCTTTTACTCATGTTAAATCAGATCTTTTGAAGATTTGATAGTATATTATTTAAATAACAGATAAAGCTGAAACAACCACATTATATTGAAAAACCACATAATAAAGCATGGGTTATTCCATTAAAAAGAAATATCCCACAATGAAAATAATAGTACATTATACTATATTTTCAACACCTACATATTTAGGTCGGATACCTTTGTTTCCTATTGTTCGTAATAACTGAGAGAAGTACTGATTCCACACCTGTTGATTTTTACTGTACAGATTTAAATAAATACCCAATAAGACAATACAGCCTGACCATATATAACTGTAATACAAGAAGATTAGGATTAAGGTTGAAACATTGCTGTTAAGTAGTGTTACGAAAGCACAGGCGTTTTTGTCGACCGATTTTATTTGGTTTTTATTTGCTAGTACGATTTGTGTGCAATTTTGATTGATCAGTGGTCTACAGAAATTTGATATCGGCGATTAAGCAATATGGCTGCATCAGCTGACAAGAGAAGAAAGTCATCTTTTTTGATTATTATTCTTATTATTGTTGAACTTCCACATGCCGCCGCCATCTTTAAAATCTAATTACTTAACCACCTCCCAAGACGATTACCCAATTCACTAATCAGTTAAGGTAAACTCTCTCACAAATGTACCGAGAAGCTCAAACTTCCTGGCTCACAAATGCACAAAATAGCTAATCTATAGCTAACATGAAACATTAAAATATGAACAATGTGAATGTACTTACTTGATAGTAAATGGTTTGGCAAAGAAAATAAAAGATAAGATGATAGTGATAGCTTTACGACATGTTGTTACTGAAATCAAATTATATAGCTTTTCTGTAAGTTAGCTTCATTAGCTCATAAAGTATTACAATGACAAATTTAATTTTCAAACCCTGTCTATGGCAATAGTTCTCTAGTTTTCAGGGTAGGGGGTTGACTTAAATCAGTGAGTTAGATGCTTGGTTGGAGGTAGGCTAAGGTTTAGAATAATAATCAGGTAATTAGAATGGTAAGATTAATTTGACTATACCTGTTACAGCTGTTAGTGCACCAAAACTTTTCACTAAAGTCAGAACAATATTAACTCCTAAATAGCCAGTGATAGAAAATATAACAGCATAACCATATGTCTCTATTGGATACTACAATAATAAAATAGTTTCACTGTTAAAATAGTGCTCAAAACATCAATTATAGAGCGATATAGAAATGGATACTGCCAGAATAAGATAAATTTGTGTTTCTGTATCAAAAAGTAACTTAAAAGATTATGTTGAGAAGCAGCCTTCAGAAATTTTTTTTTATTCTATAAATAGTTAAATGCAGAAATATAAATACAATAATTTAATTGAAATAAAATATTCAGCAGTTTACAAGCTTAATGTAAATTACCTGCTGACAGAACTGAAATGCTGGAAGAAGTTGGCCAGAGACCAGCAGAACTCCTAATATATAGAAAAATCCAATACCATAAGAATATAAAACCTGGAGAAAAAACATAAGAATTAATTCATTTGGGAACAAACTTAAAAGGACATATTTCTTGAGTATCTTCTAATGAAAAAAAAAATTTGTTCAGGTCTAAATGTCAATTTTAATGTTCAATATGGTAAATGTTTATTGAATTGTAGTCTACGAAGATGTTTAATTTTCATATTGAAATCAACATAATGAATATAACCTGTGTTTAACTGAAAAGCTGTCCATCATAAATACCCCTAAGCACACTTCTTTAAACAAACATTCTGAACTTGTCTCAAGTATAACATGACAAACTAGGGATGCAGGTTGGAATAGGTCAGTTGTCTGCACAGCATTAAACTCTGACTAACAACATGTTTCAGGTTCTGTTTACAAATTTCTAATGAAAGCATAACATAAAAATATATCGCTACTGAGTCTGCACACTGACACTCCTGGGTACATACATACTGCAGACTATTGTACGTTGATAAAAAAACAAACAAATTTATACATACTACTTCACAGTTGCTAGCCCCATGTTGTTTTATATTCTTCTCTTGTACATTTCCTATAACTCCATCAGCACATACTGCTAATGATATTAAAACTATACCAAATAGGTTGAATTCAGGATAAACTGTACTATCAGCTAATGTAAATAATATCAATCCCAAACTCATACAAATACATGCTGAAAAATCTATAATGTTGTATTTCTTTCCTGAAATATAAGATAGTATACATATTTTAAATGATATTCAGAAACTTTTGCCAGACAAAATCTAAACAATATCTTGGAATGAAATGAATTGAATAATGATAAGCCATACAAGTTTATGATTAAGCTCAAAGTGCAAAAATCATCATGTATTTTTTAGCCTTAGTTGTAAGAGATTAATATCTAATCCTAATCCTTAACCGTTTACATGTAATGTTATTCTATATATTTTATAGTGCCTTTATATGGGGATAGTTATAATGCTAAAATAGAAATTAAAACCATAAACCATATCTGCAGGGCCATATGCCTTTGTCATGATCTATATTTGACGTACCTTGTATAAGTATTCCACCGATTAAAACAGGTATCAATTTACAACATTTAAATATAACTTGAGTGGCATAGTTTAAATATCCAACAGATGTATTAGAAAGTCCCATGGTGCTAACAGTCAAAAAAGCTAGAAAAAGATACGTTTTTATTGGTATTCTGAAATAAAAACACAAAATAACATATTTTTCATTGGTTGTTTAATCAAAGGGGAAGTATGTTTTATTATCCAAAACATCGTAAATTATACCTGAAAATATTTCTAAAATATATGCTATTTATATTTATGTATTTGCTTGATCAAACTGAGTTTATTTTAAATGGATTAATTGAAAATAGAGTGTACTAAATTGTATGTAAGAACTTAAACTAGTTTTGTTGTTTAGAAAGATTAGAAAGGGTAGTTTTAGACACTGCAAATATTCAGTTTAAAGCATTATGCTAAATCTTTACTTCCAGTATCAGAGCTCTATGTTAAGGTTTGAATTTCAAAAGGATAAAAATCATGCTTACTTTCTTGTTTTGTCCTCTTTCAATTGTAATTCAACAAGCCCAAATAAAACATAATATAAAAATTGTACTAATGTTAAATACATTCCAAATGGACGGAAACCATCAAGGCGAAATATTAATTCCTGAAAGAAAAGAGAAATGATCTTAAATAAGTTGCATCCAAACCAAATGATATTCATGAAACTACTAGTTTTAACTAACTGGTACCACAGAATTCAAGTAAACATATACCAGTAGCAACTTATGCTTCAGGCAAATCTTCACATACACTTAACTGCAATGAATCACATAAGCTTATTCAAATTTGTATTGAATAAACATGAATTTTCTTTTTACAAATCTATGTGTATTAAACCTACTTATTTATAATTCAAATTTTATTGAGACTTTTAAATCAATGATGAAAAAAAGAGTTACCTGCATATAACCATAAATTAAGTAGAAAAAAAATGTGGCAGCAGTTAAAAGAATAAATTGTACACTTCTAGAACTATGAGTCAAATCAAAACACATTAACTGAACATTCGGTCTCTGAATATCATCATTATTCAACGGTAACACTGATATTGATATACTGGAACCATTTTTTTGTCTTAAATTATTATTCATTGTATTAAATCGTGACATTATGGTTGTAACACACTAAGTTGACCTAGAGTATTTTAGGCTTTTATTCCATTTCCATCCGTGAATATTCCACCTGCTGTAATATTGAAAGTCTGTACTCAGTAACCTATAAAGAAATTCAGGAATGGGAAACACAACCTTTGCAGTGAGTTTGTAAATTATATTGGTAATACGAACACCAAGTCCAAAATATTAAAACTCTTTTAACTTTCATCCGCTGGAATTATCCTCAACCTAAAGATAATCGAGACACTGCTACGGACTTGAAAGCCCAATTCATTTGTAGAATAATTGCAAAATGAGATTCAAAAACGATATGGTTGTCAGAAAATAGGGTTGCCAGTTTGACTGGTTAGCTTACAGCTACAAGGCTTCGAATGATCTAATTTGCACACACTTGTTTCGTTATTGATGAACATTTCTGTGTTCCTTAAAGCAATTGTGGGTTCACCTAAGCTTCATCCACGCTTACCTGTTCAATCAATAAAGTTTCCCGTGCATTTAAACTTTTCAAACTTGACAACTCGACCAGAGAGGGTTTGAAAGAACTATGCCAAATCACATTTCCGGTGTGAACTACGTCATCAAAAGTTGTGTGGATTTTCCAAGATGTCAGCTTCCTTTAAAATTGATTTCGATACTCTTAGAATAAAATTTACGGTTAGTATTAATTATGCTGAATGAGTACTAAATACATGACATTTAATCCATTGCATTTACCCTTACTGTTTTGTTTAAAGGTATTTTGATACAACTGTTATCCAGGTGCCGCACGCTCTTTTGGGCTTTGTCATAATGTCTTCCCAAAGCCCATGACATGGCCCAGGCATAGCCATACTAGGATAGATAGACATAGACTTAGTCCCTGTTTGTTTTGACATAAGATAGATAGGCATAGACTTAGTCCTGGTCAGAAAAATTGTGACTTATTGGGGTTGAAATTTCTAAGAGAGTAATAGAAATGTGTTTTTGTTAATGTAAACTTACAAAAGATTATATTTTTATCAATGCAAAGATATTCTAAGACTAGCAGTATTTTTTTGAGGCTGATATTCCAATTCTCATGAAAAATATCAAAATAATTCAAAAAACTTTTCAATTTACATAGACAGTAGTCACCTGAAGGTCAAACCAGGCTTTTCAAAGTTTTTATGAACATTAATGTGTAATAGCGAAAATGGGATGTTCTTTTTTTTAGTCTTTCTAAACATCTTTTCAGGAATTAGTGGAAAAGTCCATTAAAGGAAATGATATTTCAGGATGCATATCCAGAATTCAACAAGAAAACATTGGGTAAAATATTTATTTTGCAACTAAATGGAGATGAATATTGATTTCCTTATAATGATTGTAATAATCAAGGCTTAATTCTAAAATGAGTCAAATTGGAGCTATTGGTACAAAATGTTTGAAGATCAAAATGTTTTCTGAGATAGATATATATTAGATGAATGCATATTTCAGAGAAGCAGAAAAGAAGTTGGCCATGGATCAATCACTTAGAGATGTTATCAAAAGATGTGTTGTGAGTAAATTAATCAAACATGTTTTCAATTTCCTGCAATTTTATTGGGAACCAAAGGGGATCAGTGAGTCAGATTTTAATTGCAAACCAAAGCCTTGTGCTTTCAATAAATAAGGAGAGAAGAATTGTAATTCCATTTCATTTCATTCATTTGGTATTTTATCTTGCACTTTTTGATTTCATCATAGTAAGAATTGTTTCTTTCATATGAGACAGTGTTTATTACAGGAAACGAAAAATAATGGTGAGGTTTTTAAGCTAGTTATATCATGTGCTATTGAGGGAGCTTTAAAAGGTAAAAATATTTTAGTTTTGATTTGATAATCATTACCTTGACGATAATTTTTTTTTTTTTTAACTCAATTTAGTGAAAGTGGGTTATGGAAGATTTGAAATGTCCATTTTTATATTCAATATTTTATTCACATGAAATTGGAAAGGTTTAGGAACAGGATTTCTCAAAAATAACTCATCTCCCAATAAAAAATATTTAGTATGCAATATTTTATCATGAAGCAATCAAAAACATTAGAAATGGGCAGGTAATGGATAGTAACCACCTTTTTAAAATAAACATAGTCCATCGAAATATATAGAATTGCAGTTTGAATAGTGATTGGCATTAAAAAGGTAAAAGGTAAAGAAGCATAAAATATATGAATGTAATATACTTGACATGTATTATCTCGACATTTGATTTATTTTGTTAGTTTTATCAATGAACTATTTTGTAGATATTTGTACAACTACAGTACCATTTCAAATGTTAGCTGATATGTTTGATATGCTTACTCTAGAAAAATCAGAACAAGTATTTAGTATTGTTGAAGAAAATGTTAATGTTTGGAAATCGGTAAGTATGCTTTTTGATTGGTCCAAATGTGAAAGTACCATGGAGTATTTGGAATGTGTTATACAAAGATTGATCATTCACTTTTTTTGGTAGATATTTATCCAAGAATACAATTAGTCCTACAATATGTTGTTCATTGAAATTTCAGGCTAATTCACGTATCAACTAGAGTGCATTCTCTGACCAATGGTTATAAAAGTAACATAATTCGGAGCTTGGTGTTAATTTTGTATATTTCTATATATATAAATTATTAAAACAAAACCTAAACAAACTTGTTGTTGTTACTCAGTTTCATGCTATGCGATCTTCAGACAACTGACCTATATAATTCAGCCTGCGTCCCTACTGAAGTTGAACAAGTAGAACTTATTCTCATGTCTACACTTCGAGACGAGTTCGAAACGTTTGTTTAAAGAAATGTTCTTGGGGGCATTAATAATGGAAAGTTTCTATATATAGATTAATTATATAAATTTTATTTTTTAGGCTGGGTTTTATGATGCTGGTAAAAATTTCCTATTAAGAATGTGTAATGGTAAGTTGTGTAAATTTATACCTTTGTTTTTAAAATGTCAGATTTTTAATGAAATGCCTTATTACTTATATTTGTAGAGGGTTGGACATGCTGTCAGCTTTCATATTAGTCAGTTAACAAGACATATTTCTTTTTCAGATTTAATCCGTCGATTATCTAAGTCTCAGAATACAGTATTTTGTGGAAGAATTCAGTTATTTCTGTCTCGTCTATTTCCTTTATCTGAAAGATCTGGTGAGCATAAGTTTATTTGTTTTAGGAATGACTAGCACAATAAGTAAGAATGTTAGAATCTGTTTATGACATCATTTGCTTGATTCTGTTGTAAAAATGGTTGTAGTGGGTTTTATTCTGAAAATTATGTAGGAAAACCTATTGATTTTGAAAAAGTTATTTTTCCTAAATATGTCAAATAAATCCATACAAGCTTTATTCTTATAAATCGGTCTATTTTTAATACTTAATAATGTTGTTAATGTTTTTTTTTTTTAATTTCAGCTTTGAATCTAATGAGTCAGTTTAATTTAGATAATGTAACTATATTTAATACTCATGGTGATGAAAGTAAATTCAAAACTGTAAGTGTATTTTCTATGTTAGCGAAAATCAAATCCATGTCTCTATACAAACCTAAAACCTCACTTGTTCTGGCACAATACATCAGTGAAACGATACAGCACGATATTACTTGCTATGATACTCATGGTTGCATACTCTATTGTTTGCCTGTGTATCGATACATTATGATATCAGGTTTTCAATATTGGTATAGGTCAAGATATATCTTCAGATTTTTCAACTTATCTCTCCTGTCAGTTGTGCAGATTGAATGAGCTTTCATGAAAAATGTATATAGTCATAGTCATAGCTACAGGCTACACACTTTCAACAGACGCAATACTTAAAATTGACAAAAACGTAATGCAGTGGTCTTGGCTTATTTTTTTCATTGCACACTGCATGGCGTTGTCTGTCTTCATTAGCCTAAAAAGGTACAGACATCATTTCATTAACACAATCAAATTCAAATTCAGATTTGTGTTGTGTTTTTAGTATATTGATAATGAGAAAGCCTTGTTGATTAATACATCTTATATATTTCAGCATCATGATAGTACACAAGAATTTATGGAAATAGAAGAAGGTGAAATGGCTGATTTTCCTTCAAGGTGATTATTATTATAATCTTGTAGTCAAATCTTACTTGCTGAAATATTTATTACTGAATTGGTTTTCTATGCATAAAAATATTATATTTATAAGTGCATCACATCATCACCCATGTCCTTTCCACAATTTCTTGTAGACATTAAGTATGAGTTGTTATTCAAAACCCCTTTAATTTAGAGCTCATAAACGCTCAAAATGGCAAAATTCTAGACTGTTTTTGATAATGTTTCTGAAAGGAATGTGTATATTGAAGTTGAATATTTGATTGTTTTGATGATTCTTCCAAATATTGTAAATCAAGCAAAGCTGCTAGTAGACATATCTTTCCTTGCATAACAAACAATCTTTATTATTCTACTATTTTTATTAGTATTGTATATTGTGATGTATTTACTCTAATACTGTGACTAGAGCATGCATATGATATTTAGTAGGAGATTGCTTTCCATACAGTACACTAGCTAGTCACGTGACACATTCCTTGGTGACGTAATTACTTGTAATGTAAGCCGCCATTTGTAATAGCACATGTATATTATTATGCCAAATAAATGGGTCCTTACACTCTTATGTCCACAACAATTAAACGTGACATATATCAATAAAGATAGATAAAAATTAACTCATTTCAGCTATTTTACTTCATTTGTCATATAATTTGATCATATTCTCTTTGTTTTTCAGTTCATTTCCTATAGATTACAACCTATACAAAAGATTTTGGTCATTACAAGATTATTTTCGTAAACCACTACAATGTTATGAAAAATCATCTTGGAAGACATTTGTATCAGTAAGTATATAAAAAAAAAAAGGATTTTTTTTTTCTCACCAGAAGTCTTTTTTCAGAATGATTTCTCTTCTTGTCTGGGAATGTAAAATTCTTTAGGTTAAAGGGATTGTTAGATGTCTTTGGTTTTTGCCATTCCACTACCAAGTGTTGATAGCAAAGTTATTGCAAAGACCCTTTGATTTTATTAGAAACTTTGGCTATAGTGACATCATAAAGGGTGAAGCATTTCTATAATTACAGGAACTACAGACCTCTGATAGAAAATTTTAATGATGCTGAAAAAATGGCCCTAATACACATAAGAAAAGTTAGAGAACCCCTTTACTTCCCCTTAGAATGTTATTATTGATATTAATTTTGAAAAGGCTAGGTTATCAGGTGAAATAAGTATTCTCTTTTGAATATATATTATAAACTATTAACTTATTATTGTGTAATTAGTCTGCTAATTAATTTCCATTATGTTAATAATTTAATTTTTTGTTGTCAGCATGCAGATGAAGTATTAAAGGCATTTGATAGTTGTAAATTAGATGATTTGAAATCTCAACGTAAAAAACTTGATCATTCCAAACAAATGGATACACAAACATTCTTTGCAAAGTATCTCACTAGTGAGAAAGTAAGTGAAATCAATTGTAGATTACTTAAGTATTTCATATGAAATGCCCTGATCAAAAGTTAGGATGTTGTGTCAAGTTTTTCAGTACTCTCTTTCTAAAGTTAATTTTTTACTTGAAATAAGAGTATCAACATCTCTGAAGCCTGATGATAAATATATGTATGGTGGTAGCTATCTATAAATCATGTCTCTTATACTCCAAGCTGAAAGTAAGGCTTGAAATTATTGCGTGAACATAAAATAGATCTAATGCACCTAGAAATTCTCTTAAATCTTCCTTTTATTTGATTTCAGTTATTAGATCTACAGTTATCAGACAGTAATTTTAGAAGATATGTTTTAGTTCAGTTTCTTATTGTATTTCAATATCTGAATGCTCAAGTTAAATTCAAAAGGTAATTATCGCCAAGGCAATTGAACTTATTTTTCAAATCAAAATTCAACACATTTTCTATTACAAAAGTGATATCAATATGCAATGAAGACTAACAATAAAACAGTTTTTACTTTATATTAGATAAGTAAGGACATGCAAAACAAAAAGTATATCTTGCACTCAGCAGGACTGATGGGAAAAAAGCATACATAAAAAGGGGTGCAATATCAAGTTCCACTGTTATTTCTTTTGATCTTTTCGTTATATGAACATGTGGGCAGAGCTTAGCTGTGGTATAACTAGTTTATATCAAAGTTATTGACTATGACAGAGAATAACTGTAATTTTTTTATATTCCAGTGCCAGTCAAACATTAACAGATGATCAAACAGCCTGGATCAAGACAGCTACAGAGAAAGTAACGAGTTTAATTAAAGAAACTCCACCAGATGGCGACAAGTTTGCTGAATCAGTTGATGTAAGTAACTATTTTTTAACTCAAGACTATTGGTTTCATTATAAGCATCAAAATAAGATGGCACAGAGCTTACTCTACATACATATTAATTATTTCAAAGTTGTGTTTTTTTATATGCATAGATTATAATGTGGACGCTTATTTGTTGTAAGCTTTTTGAGCTTTTTGTATCAAACTGATTCTTTTAGTATGTAAGTAAGCATGTCTTGGCTTTTTGAAAAGTAGAATGTAAGTCAAGTTAGAATGGAATTTCTGCACATATTTGACTTTGAATATTTAAAATTGTAAATTTTAGCATATACTTCAACGTGAAGAAAACTGGAATAATTGGAAAAATGAAGGTTGTATTAGTTATGTCAGAGAAAAATTAAGTCAAGAAAAAGAACCTACTGAAAAAGCTAGAGTTAGGTAAGATAACTATATGTAATGTCTTACATCAAGAATTGACCACAATAACTTTTTTCTTCTTGGTCTGAAATTGATCAATCTTGATTTAAATTTTGGATGGGTTTGCATATGACAAAATTTTTGCTGATGTCTTGGCCATGAAGAATACCCTCAGCAAGTGTTAACCTTGTTATAACTTACCTTAGATCAAAGAAGACAAACATATTATTTTGCAGTGCATTTAGAATCTCTGTATTTTTTAATTAGATTTTGTATGTAATGTAATTTCTTACATCTAAAAATTTTCTTTGTTGTACCAAATTTTATCAAAATTATTATTAGAGCAAAACGAAAGAGAGTAGGAGATGATTTAATGGCTAGTAGTGGTAAGATAAATATGGGTAGTCCAGAATTAACCAGGCTGTGGAATATTAATGCTAATAATATGGAAGCTTGTAAGGCTGACTCTCGGTAAGTAATAGATTGCTAGTTACTGTACTGTCAATACACAGAGTTATACTGATTAAATTAGAGGCATTTTAATTTGCACGCTCAAATGTACATGTACATGGTGACCTCCCATATAAAAAGAAATATTTCTATTGAAGTCCCTATAGTTTCAGTTATCTTTGTAAAGTAATGTTCTTAGATAATCAGCTATAGAAACTGAAGTGTAAGTTCTGAAAATTTCAAGGATTTTATGATTTATCAGTAAATTTAATGATTAATTATATCTTCTACAGTATATTTCTACCAAATATTAATGAATATTTTGCTGAGGCTATTGACCAAGCAGATCCTGATGCCATGATAGAAGATGAATACATGTAAGTTGAAATATATTTGTGTGTAATAGAAATACAAAGATATAAATGTCAATGATTTGTGTATTAAGAGCATTTTTTTAAGTTAGTTTCATCTGTATATCCTAGCCATTACTGATCCATTATTAATCTTTCAATGTCATGTAAGAAACACAAGTTATAGTTTTGATTATAGATTAGTTATGGATTATAGAAACACAATTATTGGATAAGGTAATTAAATATTATGTACAAGCAATATGATATGATTTGTTTTGATCTGAATTGAACTTTTCTATTTTTCAGATTGTTGAACAAGCCTTATTTTCAATGGAGATCACTACGATTATTAGCTAGAAGATCACCCCATTTCTTTACTCAACTTAATCCTCCTTTTATACCATTGAATAAATATCTGGAGATCATGGTGAATAAAATAGCACAAGACATGCCTGTAAGTTTTTATCATACCATATTGTGTGAGTAGGTCTTACTGATTGCTAGTAATAATGATGATAATGAAGTAATGACTTGAGTAATTTTAGTCTTTTAATGATTAAGATAATGGAGTGATAACATTAGATAATGGAGTGATAAGTTTAGGTAATGGAGTGATAAGTTTAGATAATGGAGTGATAACTTTAGATAATGGAGTGATAACTTTAGATAATGGAGTGATAACTTTAGATAATGGAGTAATAATGATGATATAAAATTTGATATAACTTGATTTATTTTAGTATTTCATTATTAATAATGATAATGAAATGAACTTGTATCTTAATAATTGATCAGTCTTAAAGTTATATTGATGATGATAATGTAAAAAAAACATGATTATTTCCATTCTATCTTAGTTAATGATTAAGTCACCTTGACCTACAGTAATTATAATGATGATCATGAAGTAATATCTTGATTAATTTCAGTCTTCTAACAATAATGATGATGATGATAATGAAATGCATGGAAATGGAGTTGAAGATGAAAAGCATGAATTGGAGGAAGAAGAACCAGAAGAAAAACAGCCAAAACGTAAGAAGATGACTGAGGAATCCTTGTCGGGTAAGCACTATTTAAACTGTCACCGATGCATGTAGGAGGGGTTGACATGGAAAAATCATCTAATTTTCATATTTATGAGACTATAAACTCTGGCCCTGTGTGCTAATTAGATAGTAAATGAAAGATCAATGCCAAGGACCAGCTGGTATAAAGGATCCTCATTGACCTAAGTTGTTATGCTTGTAAAAAAATGTTTGTTTCTAAGGGCTTATGCTGCTGCTTTGACCAATTTATTACATGATCAATGGAGTTAACTGTTTTCATTAGTGCAATCAGTAGCAGAAAATTAAGAAAGTGAAATCTCACCACAGTAATATGCAGTGTTAAAGGAAAGAAACAGTTAAAACAGATTATAAATATAGCTTTTTTCTCTTCAATTGTAGTAAAAGAAGAACCAATAGGTGACATCTTAACAAAAGAACATATCACAAAGGTAGCAGAATTAATAAGTAATGATTGGAAGAAATTAGGTCATGAATTAAAACTTGAAGAAGATGACATGGTTTATTTTGAATCTACTGGAAGTTCTGCTGCTAGTAATATGTTAACTGTATGGAAGGTATGTTGGTTTGTTTATTCAAGTATTAGAAAGGAATTTAGATAGGCTAAGACAGAAAGTAACTTTTTGAATCATAAAATGATAATCGTTGCCTGGATTGTCAATATCATTTGCAGGCAATTTATTGATTGAAAGATAACTTGGTAATCAATATTGTCTGACAAATATTTTGAGGGTATAAGGCACTTTAAAGGGATATGGATGTTTAAATATTTGCTTTACCAGCTGTCAGAGCTAGATTGTAGCTAATCAAAGAACATTTCAGAATTAAAATCGGAAGTGAGGTTCCCCTTACAAGTTACATACAGCATCGAATTAAAATGTGGTAACTGCCTGGGCGTTTTTCCCTTTTGAATGAGGTCATTGGTTGTATGTGGGTGCTATTGATAGTTGTAATCCTTGTCTAAAAAACATTTAGACATCATATCCCTTTTCTAAACAGGGGATGAATTCTATATATTTATAAAAACAAATTCTGAATTGTATTTATTGACAGATACAAAAACTGCTACTTTGAATATATTTCATATCATTTCAGTATATCATTTCATTTGTAATTTTTCAGGAAAATGAAAGAAGTGATGCTCCTAAAGAAATATTAAAGGTTGCTTTACTAAATATTAATCAACCAACTATAGTTCAATCTGTATTTGGTTAAAATGGTGTTGAAGCTTTAGTTTTTTTTGTATCATTGTAAAAAAAATCATAAATCATTTCAGAAATAAAAAAAAATATAACAAATGTATGTTCATGTATATTTTGTCACTGTTCTGATAAAATTTATGTCATTGCACACTTCATGGTGGAACAAGTCTTCATTAGTTTAGTCAGAAGCTGAAAAGCTAGATGTAAAACTTTATCTCATTTCTGGTATACAATATTTTTACCGTTTACCAATGGCAAGTACAACAGCAATTTATAGGTATTGGGGACACTGATAGCCTTAATTGGCACCATTCTGATTTTCAATCAGACAACTGTGATTCCTGCAATTCCACTAAAACTATGTGTTTGATGACATCACTAATCCCCAAAGAGAACGAGAACTGTCTGATACCCTGTGAAAATTTGTCACTAAGCAAATAGACTTGGAATAATTAAAAAAAGTTATTGGACTTGACATTTCAAATTAAAAACATATACAAATCACAATTCATTCTAAATAGTTTATTTTTATTTTGCATAAACAATATATAATATAACATAAATAGGACGGATTCTATAGAATAGATTTATAAAAATAATTTTGATAAAACGAAATCTAAACATTTCAATAAATGCAGCTTATAACCAGTCAACACAACACTGCAAACAAATCAGTTAAAATTCTGATTGAAAGACAAAAGCAAAACAATTTTATCACATTTTACAGGCATCAAGCTATTGGTATATCATATATTGGTGTTCTAATGGTGTTCCTCATAACACTACATGTACATTGAACATGTTAATCACTTTGGCAATTGTGGTGCTACAGAAAGAATGTCATGAAAATTCCAACATGTCAGATCTCTGTATTTGTACATTCATTCTTGTTTTATAAATGTACTGATCAGTTGGAACATCTTTATGGAAAACTTCAAATTTATTGGAACATCTTTATGGATTACTTCAAATATATTGGAACATCTTTATGGATAATGTTAAATCTGTTGAAACATCTTTATGGAAACCTTCAAATCTGGTGCAACATCTTTATGGATAACTTCAAATCTTTTGGAACATCTTTATGGAAAACTTCAAATTTATTGGAACGTCTTTATGGATTACTTCAAATATATTGGAACATCTTTATGGATAACTTTAAATCTGTTGAAACATCTTTATGGATACCTTCAAATCTGGTGCAACATCTTTATGGATAACTTCAAATCTTTTGGAACATCTTTATGGATACCTTCAAATCTGGAGCAACATCTTTATGGATACCTTCAAATCTGGAGCAACATCTTTATGGATAACTTCAAATCTTTTGGAACATCTTTAAATCAGTTGGAACATCTTCATGAAAAACTTCAAATCTATTGAGACATTGTTATAGAGAACTTCAAATCTATTTGATCATCTTTATGGATTATTTCAAATATATTGGGACATTGTTATGGATAACGTTAATTCTATTGGAACATCTTTATGGATAACTTTAAATCTGTTGGAAAATCTTTATGGATAATTTCAAATCTATTGGAACATATTTATGGATAACTTTAAATCTGTTGGAACGTCTTTATGGATAATTTCAAATCTATTGGAACATCTTTATGGATTACTTCAAATATATTGGAACATCTTTATGGATAACTTTAAATCTACTCAACGTCTTGATGGATCTAATTTAAAACGTTGAGTTATTCTTTTACTTCTTTTTTAGCTGGTACATCGTTATTCTTTCCTTTTGAGTCATCTACATATTTCTTGAAAGATAAAACAGTTTATTAATACCCTACAGCTGTATATAACAAATCAGATTATAAATAATAAATAATACTTAAATTACGAAATCGAGAAGTGATAATGATTTTTTGTAGGAATTGATACCGTATAATTTCGATTATAGTGCGCAGTTTATTAAACTTATTAAGGATTTATAAATCAGCTTACGACAAAAAATATCCAATTTTTCACCAGTGGATTCCCAGTAAATATTGGCGGTCTGTTATTATGTAAATGATTACTAGTGATCGAATGTGATATTGAAGCTTTAGCTCTTTATCTTCATTGCATTTGACTAATTGTCTTATTTTCATGTGTTCGTTAATATAGAAAATGATTAATATTAGGTCTTAAAATATTAAATATTTAAGATAACCTACCAATACAACTAAATAAATAGCTCTAGGGCCACTGTGAACTTACCATTAATTGAGCACTCATAAAATATGGTTTCTTAGCAGAACCATCATTCATATCACAATCTTCTATAAAACATATAAATAAAGCATCGATTGCCATCTGAAACAAACATAAACTGTCTTTTTATTACCTTATTTCAAACACAGTATGGCCGTATCTGGACTGTGTTGAGGCTTTTCTAAGCTTTTCATGTGTATCGTTGGGACTGATAGCATCGATTTGCAACATCCCAATTTTTAATCAAAGTGTTGAATTTATAGAATGGCAAAAGCCATGAATGTCTAACTGAAAATTGGAAAGGTGGAAATTGGATGCTAAATTCACTAAAGTAAGAAGTGAAGAATTCAGATTATAAACCAATTGCTATTAGATTGAGTTATGAGACTTACTTCATACAGAGAAAGAAAACTGGAGGCAATTATATATGAAATAATACATGCTAATGTTATTGGTAACCATAGATAATTCAGTTCCTTATTCTGAAACGACAAAAAAAACAAACAATAAGGTACATCATAAAATGACTTAGCTATGGTTTGAGACTTCCTTACTCACCCGTTGGTCAAGGATTCAAGAATTTGATAATCTACAACTCAATATCGTTAAAGATTCTTCGACGAAGAGGAATCGTAGAGGAGGGGATCTATTCCACCGTCCAAGCAAAACTTCAAATCATGCAAGGATGTACTCATTTCTGGATATTGCAAGATGTCATACCTTAAATACTTCCAAACCAATGACAGCTACAACAGCAACTGTAGCAAGTTTACCAATGAACAAGAGAAAGCTAGCAACGCTGTTGACAGCAGCTACACGTAAAACATTTCTTATTATCACAGACATTGCTGATTTAGCAGCTTTACAAAACCCATAACCATGTATCGCTGAAATCAAGAATATCTCATCATTCTCACAGCCCATTGTCCCGTTTCACAAATTGAGTTTAGATTATTTTCAGGTGCAAAAACTAACTGCAATTCATTTCCTTCCAGTAACCTAAATAATGGTGTTGAATAATCAGCGTTGAATTGTTCTTGATTATTTGGCACGATAGAGATCTCAAGATCTCCAGAAACAACATTAAAATTCAATTGTATAATAAGAGGGTATATTGAACAATTGCCTGAATTTCTTGTTCTTTGGTCGATTTCTGTACCCACTGCAAACTGTTCACTGTAAAACTTTCTTCACTGGGCTTATGAATCTTGAATCTTATCTTGAATTAACTTATAAAGGCTAGGGGAAAAGTTAGGAAAATTCAAAACGTGGAGATCCAGCAAAATAAAAGCATATTAATTACCTATTTCGATATATGCATTTGCATTCAAAAATTTTAAAAACTTTTCAAACAACCACAAACAACAACCAAGAATTTTCAAAAGAACCTGGGCAACTACATTTTTTGCTCCTCGCAATCTGGAAAAGAGGGATTCATACATATTTGGAAATACGAGATGTTTCGGTTGACCTTATAACTGATTCTGGAAGCAACTTACTTCCTGCTCGCAACTTACGGTACGCGTGAATCTGATAAATCTCAGGATTTTATCGACCTGAACTCATTTACAACTGATAAATCTTAGTTGGCCCATGCTTACGTTCTCCATTCTTAAAATAATTGAACCCGAGCGGTCAAAGTTTGCGACCATCCACTTGATCGCAGTTGTAAGTTGAAGTCAGTTAATTTCTCGTCATGCTAGTGTTTCAGTGGATCCATGAGTTGCCTTCATTCGTCAGTCGAGTTCACTTTAGATCTAAATCTTACCTTGCATCAATAAAGGCAACAATAATTCTTATTAACTGGACTATAGCAATCAGTAGTGACCCAAAAGCAATAGATCCCAGATGATATCTAAAATAGAGAATATAGAATTTGACAAGGTCCACAACATTATTATCAAGTATTGTTTTATTTGTAAGCTTTATACATTTTGTTCCACGATTGACCACGATTTATAGAGATTCTCAATTGTCGCTATTTGGAATTTTTCTTTACAGTCATGTAGGTAACAATGTGAAACATTATAAATTATGTCAAAAGAATTTTTTACACATTTACCTTATCATAGTTTTATATGATTTCAGGATGGGTGATTTTACGTCATCTTTATTTCTGAAAAAAAAAATTCAACATGTTTAAGATATAACCGTTTTTTCATTCAGTTAATTCATTTGGTATATCTCATTAGGGTTAGAAACATGAGGGTTGAAGAATTATTGACAGAAAATAAATCAATGGTTAGAAAAGTGGATTTACTTAGAACCATAATGCTAGTTGTCAGGAATTCTTTACGATTTAGTGAGCAATTAAATAGAAATATAATTGGTATCATACCGACCTTAAAAAATACCACCGAACGACAGCTCCAGATATCAACATTCTTTCACAACCCAATATAAATTCCATCATCCACAGAAATCCCAATACATAATAAGCTAACAAATACTGGAAAGAAAAAGTCATTCGATATCAATTGTTCATTTGCTACTCCATAGCGAAAACGGAATCTTGTATTAAACGGAAGGATACGCCATTTTTTGTGACCAATCATTTTTTAGTCCCTGAGTCGAGAATTCTTTTGCTGAGCTAATAAGTAATATTGTTCAAAGCTCACCGTCGAAATTTGAGCCTTCAAATCCACTTTGTCCAGAATTATCCGCGTTTGGAAGTTAAAAAAGATGAGTCGTCTTATTTTAGACACTGCCAAAGTATAGGAAGACATGTATAGAAATAGGAACATAATTTCCTATAGTTTATGCGATTTTCGTTTATTTCTAGTACTTTTGAAGAGCATTTACATATTATAATCAAGACTCAAATTAACCGTCCCTTTAAGACATTTTACAGTTAAGGACCAACGTACGTTCATTTTGGGATCTTCAATTTTGGTTACGTGTCCGTTGTTTTCATTTAAAGCTGTTTCTTCTGAAATTATACAGAAATCAATTGGAAAATCATCATTAACAATCTATACCAATATAGTTTGACACAATATATCATGCAGGCTATAGTGATAATCTATCTCATTACTAATAACAATAACAAGTTACTTACTGGATGTTAAAAGATATAAGAAAATATAAACTAAACCAGCAGCAGTTCCACTTCGTACTATAAATGTCTGAAATAAACAATGGGTAGAATTACATGGATTATGGAAGAAGGTTTCTGGCTTTTATAAGGGAATCGTTAACACTTAGAGCATCTTGTTAATAACCATCAGACGACCTTGGGTTCTGTATTTCCACTTGACCAAATTGACGTTACTATCAGGACTTAAAGAAATTAATAATTTGTTGCTTCCCGAGCTTGTCCATTTACTTTCATCTAATTTTTAAGCAACCTCTGGGGAAAAATAAAAAATAAAAAAGTATAAAAGCATACTTACTATAAATGGTTGAATATGTAAAATAGGCATTTTCCTTATTGCTTTACCAGATTCTTTAAATAACTGTACAGCCTGATAATGAAGAAATGTATTGTGAAAAATATTTTATAATAAATAAAGAAAAAAATCAGTCACCAGTCGTAAAAAGTCTAAATTTATCAACTACATAATATACCATAAGTACAGGATAATTATTTTGTACTTACCAAAGCTATTTGTTTCCGCATAAACAATAAAATCAACAGTAACAATACCTGTAATACAAGAGAAATAAATATCATGCATGTAGTCATTAGACCTTCAAGAATTCTCTACTAATCTATTCCATTAATTAAATTATATTACATGCAGACACGAGATCGTGGCAAACAATTTATTTACAGGTTCAATTATTCATTATGCATTGTTCAAATCTCATGTAAAATCGTATTCCATTGCTCAAAATGTAATGCCAATATGAATGCAGGTACATGCAACGCGTGACAATTTCAACAACCGGAACATTTTTAATTGCTACCGAATTTATATGAAATACAAATCAATTTTATTAATTTATACAGTAACGTTTTATATACGTTTTACATCAAGGGAGAAAATTCTCTACAATTTTATTTGACCACTGAGACTTCTTCCATCCTAACTTATCATAATCCCCATTACTACAGAATCTTCTTCTTCTTCTGCCCTGTCTACCCTATAATCTTCTTCCCTTTAACTGGTGTTATAGGTGTTTGTTGGTAAGACATATCTAGATAAAATGTAGTATCCATACTCACCCCGACAACTGAGACAACGATTGAAATAATAAGCCAGGTCTGTGTTTTGGATTGGGTAAAGTATGTGTACCTGAAAAAATAATGAATAATAATAAAAAATAATATCAGTAAATACGTGAGATATATAATTAAAAGCTTGGTATAAATTTTATTTGGGAAAGTTGAAATGAGCCAACCTGAGATCATTAATTGAATTTGAGGCTATTTAAAAAGTGAATCTGCGAGAACCATTATAGCGTACTTGACACAATAGGAGGTAAGTAAAATAATAAAATTAAATATTTGATAACCGTAAAGCCACGTAGTGTGAACCGATTTCAGATATAAACTTGTGCATTGGAATTCAAACAGTGGCTCAACGAGATGAGTGTGGCTCGTTGACTTTATATACTTTTACCCTTCTGCATTCTGCTCTCTCAATTCAATGCCTGTTACTGCTCTTTAGATACTCATTTTGCTATTTTGTCTGGGGAGAGGTCTCTCTAAAACAGTGGTTCCCAACCTTTTTCAGTCCTCACCCCCTGGAGCAATGACCAATGACCAGCATGTGATGATATGAGGTGCTCTTTCAAAATAAATTCTTCTCCTACATCAGTTGACCACAACCGTAGGGGTGAAAACACCCCTGATTAAGAAGCGGGTCCCCTAAGGGACGTGGTTCAAACAGTTCCTATGGTAGTTGAGTAACAGAATTCAAACTAAGTTCAAGATGAACTAGATTACGTTGTCCAAAGAAAACTCACCAGCAGAAAGCTATACCACCAATTGATCCTAATATCATTAGAATATAGACAGTCCATACTGCTATACCAGCCGTGTAGGTTAATAATTGAATTATAATAAATGAAATCACTGAAAAAGATTAACATGTGTTATAAAACTAAGTCGGGTGTGCTAAATTAAAAAAAACTTTGGTTAGTTCCATTGGTTTTTACTTCAAGATGTCGAATACAATCAAACGAACATGTATCTGCATAAAAAAATGTGTGTAGGTTACATACCAAGAGAAGCTGAAGAAATATATAAAATTTCCTTCCAATAAGTTTGAAGATCCGCATAACTTTTCTGAAATTCAAATTTTGATGCATTGGATTTAAGACTACAGGCGTCGTGGTTTAACACATTTTCCCCCTAGAAAAGTGGTTTGCATCCCCCACTATATTTTCAACAAATCCAAATGTCTACCTTTTTTCTCCAAAATATGTGTCAGAATGCACAAAATCAATTCATTTTTCTAAAAAAAATTCAACCGCAGCAGTTGTCCCCCCATTGAGTCAGTCTGCCCCCTATTTGTACCCCCAGTTTCGGAAGGCTGGCGCCGCAACTGGATATAACTCCTAAGCAAGTATCTATAAAGGCATAAATTATAAATCAGACTAGTCCAGTCCGTAAGTTGACAAGCCTGGTTTTAGATTGCCATCTTATGTTTCGGAAGAATGAGTATCCCTCACTATTGACAGCCGCAACTCCCTAAGCTAATAGGTTGAGGAGAATCATTCAATATTCCTAATGAAAGAAAGAGAATGAATCCCATGACTTGTTAATGTCACCCGCCACAGTGTACTCAAAGTGCTCAATGGTTGTTTTACCTCAGTAAAATCGTTATCAAAAAGGTTAAATACACTGTTTACTACGTCACCAAACTTGTCCAATACTGATGTTAAGCTTTGTGGTATACATCTAAAAAAGATCTCCGTGCTGAAATTGATAGGAAAAGCAATATTTACAGAACCTAGATATGTGCTTTGTGCTTAAGATATCTGTCCTATGTCAATTTCAGACGCAAAGGACACATTTTGTTCACATTTGGTTTTACTTTTTGTTCTACGTGTTCATAAATGCTATCAAGTTGGTGATAAAAATAAAACCATATGCCCAGCTGGCTAGCAGAAAAGCAGAATGACAGTTTTTAGGTCAGAATAGGAAATTCCTTTTAAATTAGGAAATGTTTAAACAAATTACGTTTCTTCAATTGGTAAAGTAGGACAGGTATCTGTAGAGTTTGGATCTGCAGAGTAATACTGACTAACAGGAACATCATATTGACATAACATACTGTTGGTTCCATTGGCAAATTCCTGCATCTCTTCAACACTTGATAAAGTTTCATTAGGACATTCCGATACACATATCGCTTTAGATGTAGAATCAAGATAATGACCAGAAGCAACATCTTTTAATATATCTTTATCAAAATAAAATATATAGCTGAAATAGAAAGAGAAGCAATTTGATGACAATGTCAGAACAAGATAAAAGTAAAATATGACTTAATTTTGCGTTCAAAGTAATGCAGAAAAGCCTAAGAAAATAAGGCTGCATCATATTCTTGATGTGTAGTTGATGCATCTTAACAACAAAACTACAACTACAAACTAAGTTTGCACCATGATCTCGATTTATGGAAGTTAATTATTGATGCATCTCTTGACAACAAACAGCCATCTCGGAAGACAAGTCCAGTCGGCTGTCACTTCCACTGGGCCATCAACATTGTCCAGATAGGCGATATCATAATGGCATGGGTAAGAACTGTCCGTAAGCACCTATTGGATTGAATAGGTTACAATAACTTACGGCTTTGTTCTCATATCTAGACCGGATAGATTGGATCCTTTGATAGCTTCATTTTGTTGGGAACAGATATTACCCCAGCTATCCGTTCCATAAAACAGGCTGTAAGGATTACCATTTGTTATTCCTATATACGAAACGTAGCCCTGTAATAGCAAGTAAATTGTTATAGTATTTTAATCTGTTAATCCAGGTGATATGGACCTCCAAGCAAGCAAATTGATGGTGGAGGCCGTGGAATTAAAATTAGTCAGGGTAAAAAAAAAATTGGTAAAAATTTTGAAAGTAGCGGGTTAGATTTTGATTTGCCTTGACTTAAAAGATACTTACCATTCCCGCCATATAGCCAAGCATAAGAACAATGAAGAGAACATCACGAACTGTACGGTTTTCATTTGGACCACTCAAAGGGTCTGAATTAGCCTGCAAAGATTCACATAAGACAATTTGATTGAAATGGAGATCTGGATTGTATTTTTTAACAGGTTACTGCACTTCCATGATATGACGAGATTCATCTTTAAATCGTATTCAAATCAAATAGCATCCAATCAAAACACCTTTAAATATTGTAGGACAATACAAGCCAATACCAAACAATGAATAACCCAGAGTTAAGGAGATTGTGTATTATTAGAGAAAATTTGGCTGAATATTTAAGGACTCGGAACTAGAGATGCGTAACAATTTTGTAAGTGGAGTCATTTTCAGAGAAAACGCAATATTCAAATCATCCATAATTGAAATTTAAGTTCATTTTAACTTTAAAACGTGCAATAATAGCTGAAAACCCCTGAAAAATGTGTTGGATATTATTTGATAGAGACTTACCTCTTCTGGATGGACCTGCATATTCCAAGAGATCTAAGTTAACCTGAAAAATATAAACGTTCATAACATACAATTATCACTTCTTAAAGCACTGTCGCCTTCTGAAACTAACATTTACTTGAACAACTATAACTGTTGGACTAAGACAGTATAAATGCTATGCTTAATAGACTATGTTTGATTGTTTTACTATATTTTGATTTTTGCAAGGTTTGCATACAAGCTGATCTTACCTCACAACTAACGGGAAGCATATTTTAAAAACTGTATAATATATAGCATAGCAATCTTACAATATCTATTACGACCATCATATTGAATTACTTAAATCCATAGTCCGGGAATAGCGAACTTTTATAAGGTTTACGATAGTTATTGAACGTCATCAATGAAAATATTTGAACGAGGTATGTTTCGAGCTAACGAATCGCATGTCTTAACAATATATCTTAATACCATTAATTATATTGACTAGTTTACTGAACTATTACAATATACTAGTTATAACAGACATAGATAAACTGATCAAGCGAAACTCCTCTATCATATTATCATATAAGACAATAAATGTTATCTCACAGTAAGTATATATTGTAATAGAACACGGCGTACAAGGCTGTCAAAAGGGGGTTAAGCAGATCCGTATAGGGTCTGAAGAATAGCATTACCCCAAAAAGGGCATAAAACACTGTTTTGTTTGCTTTGATTGAAACATAATCCTCATCTGGACAGCTGGGTTGTTGTTTTTTTTAAAAATAGGGGTAAACTTTCTTAAGTCTAATGCGTCATGGCGAATTTGACAATAATATATAAATAAATAAAAAAGAAAATTTTGTTTAAAACATAATATGAAAATGTGTTTACCTTAGGAGGTCCTTGCGTTTGGCATGTAGGATTTTGCGTCGCAAAACGACCCTTGTTACGTGCCGATAAACGACCCAATCTACTATAGGCCTGTGTTTATAGATATATTCCAAGAAATCAGCAATTGGTAACCATTCTACGGTAGATAATTAGAGCACCATTTTGCATTCGTGTTTCCATGTTAAAATACTTCCAACTTAAAAGAGGACCTTAATCTAGCTTTTCCATTATAGCATTATCGAATAGCAATTATAACGCAAAGACAAGTTAACCCATAGAGAAAAACAAAATTTTACCATTAAGAATTTTGTCTTTAGATCGAAACTACATCTGTGTGTTCCTTATTAATTAGATTCCGACATCTTCGGACCTTGAATCATAAATCCACAAAAGCTTATCACAAAAACAGGAACAAGTATGATACAAATTCAATCACCCAAGCCGTCGAATCTGGATATTTAATTCCTTGAGTTTACCGACATACATTCCTGATTACACATCAAAAATTCATTATTTCAGCTTGATGTAGAGAATAAAGACATTAAGAGAAACAAATAGCACGTTTTATTATTGATTGATTGTGTTACCTAGAAACAATGAGTTTTTACAGGTTAAGTGTCCCTTATCAGATGATAATATAAGATTACATACACACGCAATGTATTAAAAAATCAATAACAGGTGTAGGCAGATAGTGCAGTCTTAAAATATGTCAGCATTTTAAATTTTCGGGGACAACAATTATACCTCTAGCCAAATTCTACAGATTTACAGGTATACCGGGTTTGCTAAATCAAAGACAGTTTTCACTGTTTTCAATCTGATGTAAAAGAGAGTCAAGTGCATGGAGTAGCATGTTTTACATGATAAAGCATCAACTTCTAATATATCGTGCGCTCATTTCAGTCAAAGCTGGAAATGGAAACATTTTCATACCTTCCAGAATTTAGAAGATAGTTGACCAACATAAGTTACACACACTCACTGATAACTTTGTATTAATACAGATATTTCAAGGAATGTCGACATTTACAAGCGTTCATATTTTAATATATTTCCCAAACGTACATCTAAATTGTCGTAAAATATTAATGTCAGTCAAAAGGTAGAACATATTTCGATTCCAATGTCTTTTATTCGGGAAAAAATTACATTAAACTTGTTCAGAATTAAAAAACGTAAAGGGTATTTTTATTTTAACCATTTTTTACATAACAATAATATCATGGGTTTTATAAATTTCAAAAATTTAGTCCCGAATGCAACATTTGGGATTCCTTGAAAGGCTGTGTATGCTGCATAGACCTCTGAATTGAATTAGAGTTCTTTGTATTTGCGGAAAATATCGGAAATCCCGATAACAATACCGACAAATTTCGGTAGCTTCATGACCTCGACATTGAATAATGTGTCAAATTTATTGTTCCCATCAACAGAATACACAGTATACCACAAAATTACGATTATACAATAGTGAGATTCTTCAGATAGTTTCATCTGATGTTCTTCTGGTATTAAAGAATACAGAACACAGTTAAAATCGTTTTGACATGCTTTTTCAGAGTTATTTACCTTTAACTGTTAAACGTATTATATTTTACTGCAATTGGAATGGATTTCCAGTCTAAAGTGTGTCATTGTCAATGGCAAATCGACCACACTTTTACGAAAGGGCACAAGGCATCAAGTGATTCAACAATATGGTTTTATTGTCGCTCTAATTGTTACAAAAATGGTTATCTCTTCGAACGAATAGTCAAAATCCAATGCTGTCTACCCTTCAATTTTTTTCAAAATATTTTTTTTGATATTTCCATTGATAAGTGTTCCATGAATGGTTTTGATGGAATATAATCTTTTTTATAATATAATTTCATGTTTCTATATGACCTATGATATTTTAAAGTAATGGAATTTGTTAAAGTATTAATTTGAATATTGTGTAGTGGAAGGCAAATTTCAATTCAAAATTCACAGCGGTAGTAAGTTCCCCATTATCATTTCTGCACCACAATCTTTTCAGCGAATGCTTGGCTGAATACTTTTCTAAACCTGAATCGGAATATCAACACTGAGCTATCATTGGTTTAAAACTTTCACTATCCAATCGAGTATTAGTATTTATCTTCTCAGTTAAATTTCAATACCAATGACACTGATTAGTGATAATTTGTCTAATCATGCGGCACAATGTAAACGTTAGAGTCGTGGTTTGTTCGGAATTACTCGTACCTAACTATACAAAAATCAACAATTTTGTCACAAAAAAAATTAAATTTGAAAATCGAAATTTGGGAGATTCTTTTGTATTAGGATTGTTTTCTCCTTCCAAAATTCTGAAAGTAAAAGGTTCTTTAGTTAGTAATTTATGAGCTAAAATGTTGCATTCTGCCCCCTTGCTGTATGAAAGTTAACATTTGTACCATTATTTCCTAAAAGACGCGATTGTCACTATCAACAAGGGTACAGCTTGGGTTCTAAATAGGCGTAGTCTTTATCATCCTGACTGAAATCTTCGCATGATCTTCACGAGTAAATTAGCCATGTGCCATTTTAATGTTAAAGAAACGGAAAACGCCATACATGTACAAGGAACAGGGCCGGTGTCAAGTGATCCTTACATTTAAGCATTATTCATTTAACAGAAATATGCGATTACGATTCTGAGAGGAGATTTGGTATTTCTGCAAAATTAATATTTTAGTTTTTTGGAAAATCATATTTTGCTGAACAATACTTATGGAAATATTAAGGTTGTATATAGACCAAGGACACAACCTCAATGCAATGATAGTACTAGTAATTCAATTGAATGAATTTTATTGGTCTGATATTGAAAATAAGACTTTAACCAAATATTGGTCGAACTAGTTCAAAGGTTGAATTGACCGGTGGTCAAACAAGAATATTGAAAACAGTAATAGTCAATACTTCAAAAACAGCTTTACATCAGCTGTGTGGTCAAACAGGCTTAGACCTTCTTAATTCCAATACAGCCAACAGAGGATATTATGTCGTCCGTATAAGAGCAGCAGTCAGAAACATTTTGGTTATTTTTGTAGAATATTCCTATTCGGAATTCTGCAGTATCGTAAACTATCTTCTAGGATCAACCAGAAATGGGCTGACATGCTATGGAACCTCGACACCGCTAGATACCAGATTGATCCGAAGATACCAAACGAAACCAAACGAAATCATCCATCTGTAGCCATCTCCAAGCTGTAACCAACAACGTACTAGGAGACCATCAGTTCAACACTATTGATGGTCGCTGCTACCACGTCGCCACTAGTTCGCATGTCCTCATTCAATACAGTGGACTGCACCCCGCTGAAAGCCACTGACAGAGTATACCTGGAAACCAACGACTTACCACACACCATACAGAATGTTTTGGCTCCATCACGGACCACTGGTATACGATAATAGAACTCGTCTACCAATTTAGTACCAAATCTGTCTTGAACAGATAGGCTAAGTTTTTACTCTCAAAGTTTCTTTAAGATGGGTTCCCTCATTTTCATTTATAAAAATCAAAATGAATAGAGAGTAGAGGTGTTCTAATGACTTGGAAAAATACCAGTTTGTCTTACATGTCCATAATTAATTCATAATTAGCTAAATTAGAAGAGAATTACCAGCAGAATTCCAATGAGTGATCGATCAAAAAAGGTCAAAAAGTCTTTTTTTTTGTTTATCCAGACTGTACATGCATGGACATTTATGATTGGTTAAAACTTAAATTATATGCAATATAAGAAAATAATGATATGATTAAGAATACATGCTAATTCATTAGAAACACCAATTAATCAAATAGTTTGCTTAATTTGACACTAAAATATAAGGAAACCCACCTTTAACACTTTTTTTTAAACTATATCCCATCAATGTAACAAGTTTCACTGCAGAAACAACAGAAAACATCTTCACCTTTTTTTATTGAAAGCTTTTCCCCCTGTTTATTTTTTTTCTTTTTCCCCCTCTTTTCTCACATTCTTTTTTTTCAGATCTTCCAGTTTTCCAACAGTTATTATATAATCTAACCACACCAAGACCAACGACTACCAATCAACAAGAAATACCATGTTCAGAACGAGTTTGGAAGAATGGAGGAGATCGAGTAACTCACGACATCCAGGGCTGATTTTCAT